ATTTTTATAAAAGAGAAAATATTTTGGCAGCAGTGGCGGCTTCGTATCTCCAAAAAGGGCCCTTCCACTCCTGGCTGAGCCAGTCGGGCGCTGGGCCGTGGGGCCCCGCACTACTTTCGCTGGTCCCTGAACCGGGGATCCCTTCTCCCCAGAGTTGCGAGCAACTTTCCCCTGTCCCGGCACTGCGGTGGCTCGGGGACCGTGGCCGCCGCCCCTTGCTGAACCCCAGGCCACGCTCCCCACGCTTGGGCTTTGCGTTCGTTGGTCGCTCCCTCTCTGGGTGCACGCTGGGGGTCTTCGGCCTCGGCTCTGTGGGCGAGATGCCCCTGGGACACATCATGAGGCTGGATCTTGAAAAAATCGCCCTGGAGTATATCGTCTGCACGAGGTAGGCTTCTGCTTGCTACCTGGACAACTTCCTGGGCGAGGTGGTGGGCAATTGCGTCCTAGAGCGCGTCAAACAGCTGCACTACAATGGGGCCCTGTGGGACGGCCAGCTGGCTGGGCCACGCACCGGCGTCTCCAAGCGGCACCTGCAGGGCGACCAGATCACGTGGATCGGGGGCAACGAGGAGGGCTGCGAGGCCATCAGCTTCCTCCTGTCCCTCATCGACTGGCTGGTCCTGTACTGCGGGAGCCGGCTGGGCAAATACTACGTCAAGGAGAGGTCCAAGGCAATGGTGGCTTGCTATCCAGGAAATGGAACAGGTTATGTTCGCCATGTGGACAACCCGAACGGTGATGGCCGCTGCATCACCTGCATCTACTATCTGAACTGGGATGCCAGTTCAGATGCCAAGCTACATGGTGGGATCTTGAGGATATTTCCAGAAGGGAAATCATTCGTAGCAGACGTGGAGCCCATTTTTGACAGACTCCTGTTCTTCTGGTCAGATCGCAGGAACCCACATGAAGTCCAGACTTCCTATGCGACCAGATACGCTATGACTGTTTGGTACTTTGATGCTGAAGAAAGGGCAGAAGCCAAAAAGAAATCCAGGAATTTAACTAGGAAAATTGAATCTGCCCTCACTGAAGATTGACTGTGCTCTGAAATTCTCTGGCCTTGTTCATTTTAGTAACAGTTCCTGAATTTGCTTTAACAGTTGAGATCCAAAGATGGCCTCTTCAGTGACGACAAACTCCCCCTACTGCTTGCATTGTTCACATCCCTGTCCTATGTGTGGTACTTCATGTTTTCTTGCCAAGACTGCTTTGACCTGCAGATGCTCTCTTTGCCAGATGAACTTATTTGCTCACTTCAGAAATTCCTACAGACATCCTAGTTGGCCAGCACTTTAACTGATAGATTTGGTAATACTGGCTATCAAGACAAGAGCCTAGGAGCACAGGCGAGGGGACGAATCTTACTTGCACTTTATGTGTACTTCCTGATTTCAAAGGAGGAGGTTTGCAAAGAAAAAAGAAAATGGTGGCAGATTGAGAGGCATCATGGAAGCCTTAAAAACAGGAAACAGAAATTTGTGTCATCAAAACAATTTCCAGATGTTCTTAATCCAGGGCTGTTGGGGTTTCTGGAGAATTATCACAACCTAATGACATTATTACCTCTAAAAAGGGCTGCTGTCATAGTGATCGATTTATAAGTGTCCCATGGGGCAGACACTCCTTTTTCCCAGTCCTGCCACCTGGATTTTCTGCCTCTGCCCCATTTTGCTGACAATAATGACTTTCTCAACAAAGATGACAACACCATTTATTCTCTATTTTCCTTTCTTACCTGGAGAACCTAATTCCCCAGAAGCTAAAGCTAGACATTAATTGTTTCGGTTGCTTTGTTGGAATGGAATTTGAATTTAAATCAAAGGAACAAAATCTACCTGGTAGTTTAGTGCCTCTGATAACAGTGTGGAAAGAGCTAGGTTGGCCGGGCGCGGTGGCTCACGCCTGTAATCCTAGCACTCTGGGAGGCTGAGGCGGGAGGATTGTTTGAGCTCAGGAGTTCGAGACCAGCCTGAGCAAGAGCGAGACCCCGTCTCTACCAAAAATAGAAAGAAATTAATTGGACAGCTAAAAATATATAGAAAAAATTAGCCGGGCATGGTGGCGCATGCCTGTAGTCCCAGCTACTTGGGAGGCTGAGGCAGGAGGAGGATCGCTTGAGCCCAGGAGTTTGAGGTTGCTGTGAGCTAGGCTGATGCCACGGCACTCACTCTAGCCTGGGCAACAAAGTGAGATTCTGTCTCAAAAAAAAAAAAAAAAAAAAGAAAGAGCTAGGTTTACTGATATACAATAAACATGTGTGCATCTTACGCAATTTGAGAGAGGAGATGGAGTTGGAAATGTGGGTATTCCTGTTTTTTTTTTTAGTTTTCCTTTTTAATGAACCCACCCTTCTTCTTTAACAAAATAAAAAAGAATAGGGTGCTGTATTTTAAAAAGGAAATGGAAATAAAAAAATCTCAAAAAGCTGTTTCAGTTCTTCCACATTGTCTGTCCCTAGCAGCCTTTCTCCAGCTGACTTAACTTTTCAGAGCCACTGTGGATGGCAGTGTGACCAGAATCGTGGAATTGTAGAACTGTGGAAGGTCCTACTACCGCGCTCTACTGCTGCAGTACGCAGGGATTCCACTGCTTCAAGAACTCTGTATTAAAGCACCTATTTTGTGAAAGTTACCCTTCCTAGTTTTCAGTTCTACTTTCACGTTTTTAAATCCCTTTGCTTTCTTGCTTGAAAATTCCAGGAACATTAAAGAGCCAGAAATATGTTCTTTTGTTATGTATGGAGATATATACAGGGAGAGAGACTTTCCAAGATAGAAGTTTAATTTTTCCTCTTTTGGTTTTGGAAAATTTCCAGATAAAACTTGTCATTCATTCTCACAACTGCTCTATTTTGTTGCATCATAGTACTTATCACCTTCTAACTTACTATGTAATTTACTTATTTATTATTATGTTTATTGTCTTGTATCCTTCCTCTAGAGTATAAGCACAATGAAGACAGGGACTTTGTATGTTTTTAATCAATGCAATATATTCCCAGTGCCTAAAATAGTGCCTGGTACATAGTAAGGGCTCAGTAAATACTTTTTGAATAAACTCGATCTCCTATGTTAGCAAAAAAAAAAAAAAAAAGAAAATATTTTGAACATACTATGTGATGATACTATTATTTTTTTTTAATTATTATTATTATTTTTTGATCTAGAGTCTCGCTTTGTTGTCCGGGCTAGAGTGCCGTGGCGTCAGCCTAGCTCACAGCAACCTCAAACTCCTGGGCTCAAGTGATCCTCCTTCCTCAGCCTCCCAAGTAGCCGGGACTACAGGCACTTGCCACCACACCCAGCTATTTTTTTTTTTTTTCCTATTTTTAGTCATCTGGCTAATTTTTTCTATTTTTAGTAGAGACAGGGTCTCACTCTTGCTCAGGCTGCTCTCCAACTCCTGCCCTCAAGTGATCCTCCCTCCTTGGCCTCCCAGAGTGCTAGGATTACAGGCATGAGATACCTCGCCCATCAAGAGAAAAAGGCATTTCTTCAACGGCTATTGGCTATATCAAGAGGAAAAGAAAAAGAAAAAGGAAAGGATTTAATGGGCACCTCTGATAATTTAGCCATTTTAAACTGCAGCGTATAAACTGATTTCAGAATCCAGAAAGCTCATATAAAGAAACTCAGTATACCTTCTAAAATGCAGTGCCCAAAGCTGTTCAATATCAACATATTTAGGAGTTCAAACTAAGAACAAAGTGTAAAAGGATGTAAATAATTCTATCAAAGTTTACTATATTTCCATTACACTAAAGAACGTTTATAAGCTCTAAGTAAGTATGCTTAGCTTTAGGCTTATACATTTTAAACAAGAGAGCAAGGGGGTGGGGGGCAAGGGCAACATAACCTAAACATTTGTACCCCCATAATATGCAGAAATAAAAAAAATGAAAAAAATAAATAAGAGAGCAAGACACGGTACATTTTTTATTCTGCATGGTTAATGTACAAAATATCCCCACTTCCCTTGAGAAAGAGTATCATAGTCTAAAAGACACTTTAATGAACACTGATTATTAAAAACATTATATGATACTATATAAGTGAATTGAACACAAACACATATTCTCAAAATTTTCAATAGTCTAAGAATATATCACAGCACTGATAATATGAAGAAAGATGTTTGGATTTATTTTAAATTCAAAATTCTTCTGGTTGTTTTCCACAAGGAGGGCTTAGAGGTGAAAAGGTAATCAGGTTACTACCAAAGGAAATGTGTCTGGAATGTTCTTGATATCTCCCTTCCCGTTGAGTGAATGGATTATTGCAGTTTGGGCCTGGCTAGAGAACAAATTCATAGAAGTCACCATCAAGAGTTTCACCAATTAAATCTTCAACATTGCTAGTTAATAGTGGATTAATTAATAACATAAATAACATTTTCCCTACATAAAATTATTAACAATGATTATGCTACTTTCCAGATCTAATTTCAAATATGTAATTTTAATTGAAAAGGTATATTAAGAATACATGGCTAAAAGTATGATTAATCTGTAAGTGGACTTAAGCAGCATATGCAGGATAAATAAAATCAAGGCCACTTATACAGATTCCACAAATTCCATACTACATAATAACACTTAGCAGGCCTTTTACTAGAGCATGATCCCACTGGGATCCTTGTCTTTCCCCCCCCCTCAAGCCTTACTTCAAGTTCAAATGATGTTACTGGGCGAGCAATAATTTGGGCCTAAAATATACAGGTGGACCTATAAAAAATATCAAAACTATCTGAATTCTGGCCGGGCGTGGTGGCTCATGCCTGTAATCCTAGCTCTCTGGGAGGCTGAGGCGGGTGGATTGTTTGAGCTCAGGAGTTCGAAACCAGCCTGAGCAAGAGCGAGACCTCGTCTCTTCTAAAATTAGAAAGAAATTAATTGGACAACTAAAAATATACAGAAAAAATTAGCCGGGCATGGTGGCGCGTCTCTGTAGTCCCAGCTACTCGGGAGGCTGAGGCAGGAGGATCGCTCAAGCCCAGGAGTTTGAGGTTGCTGTGAGCTAGCCTGACGCCACGGCACTCTAGCCCGGCAACACAGTGAGACTCTGTCTCAAAAAAAAAAAAAAAAAAAAAAAAAAATCTGAATTCTAATATTTATGGGAGTGGAAAAAAATCACAAGAAGACTAAAACTACAAGGTATTAAGATTTATCAATGAGATTAACTGTGACACACTTTTATTCATGTTACTAATATATCAAAACCAAAATATTATGATTCATTAATTTCTAGATATACCTATAATATCATATATTCTCAGAACCAATCATTCAGAGTACAGATCTGAGAACAGGATTAAATCAAGTTTACATAAATTGGCCTTATGCTGAAAGCCCTGATACTCTAGATCTTAGTTTACAATTAAGGAAGGCTAAGACCAAGAAAGAATGGTATGTAGGTCACAGCAACACACTTCATTCAGCTCCTGAGACACAGAGCAGCCCAGAGCCTGACTATGAAGAAGGCAGCTTTGAAAGACGATGGACCCAAGATATACAAGGGTCCTTAAGGAATTAGTGGCTTAAGGAAGCCAAGTATTTGCCAGGCTTAATGAAGTTAACAAAAATTGTTGCTGTTTGATCCTATACTTGCTTTAATGAATTTCTTATATTCTGAGATCAAAGATTAACAAACCAAAGCTACTTCCTGACCTATTTTAGTAGGTACTCCTAGAAAAATTCAAGGTAAGGCTATAAACCAGGGGTGCTGACCCTGACTACACATTAGAATCACTCAATGAAGGAAAAAATGAAAAAACCTTCTCCAGATCATCGAAATAAAAATGTCTTGGTGTAGAGCCGAAACCAATGCTATAAACGCTTAGTAGGTAGGAAATAAACCATTTCGTTTATGCCATAGCACCAGCATCAACGATACGAATCAGACAGCTCTACCTAATGAGGAATTTACAATTAATAAGGGAATCAGATTCCTGAAATTATATTTTAGGAATATAATATATTCGTGTTATACTCTAAATAAGAGATTAAATGTATGCATCTCTCCCATTGAGATTAACATGGGAGAGATGAGAGCTTCCACAAGAAGGCTTCACAGAAAGGCTAATGTTTGAACTAGATTTAGAGGCAAGAGGTTACCACAAATAAAGTCTAGGGAGCTTCCAAATAAAATAGCAGAACGGGTACAATGAACACGGTCTGGGTGACGGGTACACTTGTAACACTGACTCAAGCATTACAAAAGTGATCCTTGTAACCAAAAACATTTGTACTCCCATAATACTTTGAAATTAAAAAAAATAATAACTCCCCCTCCTCAAAAATAGCAGAACATAAATAATCTGAAAGAATTTACAGTGAAAATAACTAATGATGATTAAAGTTGGAATAGACATATTCTCTCCAACTGCATGCTTCAGATGGGCAGAAATCTTACCTTACATTTTTCTGGCATCACTTAGAAATACCTAGCATAATCCTAGCCACATATTAGATGTTCAGGTATCCAACTAATTTGTCATAAAAAATGTGATACATAAACAATACAGGGAAATAGGTCTTCAGGGTTTAATACTAAAACATACTATATTTTAAAGTATATAAACATGGAAATTTTTTCTCCATTTTTTGAAAAATGAATGATGAATAGATTTCAGAGTAAGCAAAACAATAACAAGATATAAATTTTTTTTTTTTTTTTGAGACAGAGTCTTACTCTGTTGCCCTGGCTAGAGTGAGTGCGTGACATTAGCCCAGCTCACAGCAACCTCAAACTCCTGGGCTCAAGCGATCCCCTCCTGAGTAGCTGGGACTACAGGCATGCGCCACCATGCCCGGCTAATTTTTTCTATATATTTTTAGTTGTCCAGATAATTTCTTTCTATTTTTATTAGTAGAGACGGGGTCTTGCTCTTGCTCAGGCTGGTCTCGAACTCCTGAGCTCAAACAATCTGCCCGCTCGGCCTCCCAGAGTGCTAGGATTACAGGCGTGAGCCACCGCGCCCAGCCACAAGATATAAATTTTAAACCTTATGCAAACAGAAAAGTAATATTCATTTTATGAAACAAATCTAGAATATAAAGGAACTTGTCAAATTAAGTTGAAAAACTTACTGAATCAAGAAGGTGGCATTCAGTAGTGAGACTTTCTTTATCAAATAGTACTGAAAAATAAGAAAAATAATAATGTTTAACTTTAAAGAATATTCTTACATTCAAAGGTTGTTAAAAATGGACAAAGCCTTGAAAAATACGGAAAGCTCCACATGTCAAATGCTAAGACAAAAATATAGACCATTTTATGCTGTAACATTTTTTAAAATGTCGTTAAGTTTCTTGGTAAGAATCTATCCTTAATTTCAGTATACAAAGAGTCTTCCGTAAACTAATCTCATGCTTATACTATTAAAGGTACCCAAAAGATATTGATGAAGAACAGCTGGAGGACATTAAATATCTGGCCAAGGTTATAATGTTTTGCTTTACCTTAGGCCCTAGCTAGACCAGCACTACAGAATAGCCGATGAAAATAGCAGATGAAACTGGCACACATTACAACAAAAATATAAGAGCCATTTCCTATCATAGAACAATCACAATAAAGTAGGTAGGACTAGGTATTAGGGAAGAAAAGTAGGGTATTTTGAAGAAAGATTTGGCATTATGTGTTGTAAAAAAGGAGAACTAAAAAAAATATGAGGGAAATTTTTCTAATTCATAGTTTTCATTAACAATGATGGATCCCATAGTTAGTTCTAATGTAAAATGCTCCTTATATCCAATGTGGATTAGTATTTGCTGTTGATTTTTATTTAGGTCTCCCTCAAAGTTTAGGGTGAAGAATGGGGTATTACAACACAAAAATTTTTATAAGAAATTTATCGTGTCCAATTTTTCAACCTCCATTTTTAGAAACTGGTACTCAGATGTATTTATGATAATCTATACCTTACTTAATCCAAGTTCATTCTTTAATAAAGACTCATTTAAATATATTTAAAAGATCTCACCTGACTGAGAAATTTTAGTTTCTTCTTGTTGTGAGACATTATTTTGTGATGGTATATTTTTTTCAGGGCTACTCATCAAAACATCATGTGATGTGATTGAAGAATTTAGTTCCATTCCCTCCACAACATCTGAAATTTCTTCTTTTTTGTTAGTATTAACATCAACTGCTACTCCACCAGCAAGAAGAGGCAAACTCATTCTTTCACTGGATAAATAAGCCATCTCAAAGTTTATATTATTTTCATCCTGGCAGTAAAAATAGCACTAGATTTAATTATCAATTTAATTATTTGGAATAAATAAAAAAGGTCTTATTGCTGTTAATATAAGAAAAACAGAAAAATGACATTATGATCACAGGCTAAAGAACATTATAAATCCTACTGCCTTGCTTCTTGAACAATTAGTTCAGAATATATAGAAGTAGTATGATTGAAGGCAAGTTTCTCAGCAAGTGTCTATACTCTAGGTGAGGGATTGGCAAACATTTTCTGTGAAGGACTAGGTAGTTAATACTTACGTTTATGAGCTATAGGGTCTCTGTCGTAACTATTCAACTCTATTTTTGTGTTGTAAGCACAGCCAGATATGATACATATACAAATGAATATGCCTATGTTACAATAAAACTTGATTTACAAAAATGGGGGCCAAAGTCTGCTTATCTCTGCTCTATTTCACTAGTCCCATATCCATTCTGATGTGAGTTGAAGAATACGAAATGGCACTATGATTTCAAACAACCCAAAGGCCATTAAAATAAGAACTATCATTCTATATGATTGATTTAGATTTCCAGTGGAAATTCTGGAGGTTATTTATGGAGTAACTATATATAATGATATAAACACATGAGATACTGGGCTATCTACCACACTAGAATAGGACTTACATGGTTCACTTCAATTAAATCTTGTAATCCAGAACACTGAGCATCTTCTACTATGCTGTTCCTGAAAAAGAAAAAAAAACCCATCATACTCAGATCATTAAACATATTGTTATCTTTTGACTTATGCTTTGAGCCTATCTTTTTTTTTTTTTGAGACAGAGTCTCACTCTTTTTGCCCAGGCTAGAGTGAGTGCCGTGGCGTCAGCCTAGCTCACAGCAACCTCAAACTCCTGGGCTCAAGCAATCCTTCTGCCTCAGCCTCCCAAGT